TTATGGTGTTATCGTAATGGTGTATATACTAATATAAATTATACAGACATTTCATCTATAAAAAAAATATTATAGTTCGGAGCGGTTTACTTTCTAGTTTACAGAGCGGGAAATATAAACCCCGGCCTGGATTTCAAACGGTGTAATTACAGAACGCTATGAGCACAGCAGAAAAATCACTCCACTCCACTCATAGACGAAGCGCCAGTCCGTCTTTTAGTCTGTTATTTTGCTTGGCGACAATCAAACCGTGATGCTCTGGCTTTTTGTCGAAATCTGCGAGAATTTATGTCAGAAACGTTACTCGACATTAACTAGCAGCATACTAATTAAAAGTTACTCATTTTCAGAACTGTTGTGAGCAGCATTCACAATCAAACTATAGTTGCTTAAAGATAACGTTACTTTAATTCACTCAAAAATGTGTCATTTATTACTCACTCCAAACATTATGAATTTCTTTCCCAAAAGATGAAAATTTGAATGTCACTAACCTAATGTCGGTAACCAGTTTGAATGTCAGTAACCAGTTGATGGATCACATTGGCTTCCATAATATGGGAAAAAATAAGTTAATGACAGAATTTTCATTTTTGGTTGAACTATCTATTTTAAATGAACTGTCCTACTTTAAACAATGTAACGTTAAACTTTAATTTTTAATGACAACTAATATAGCACTTTGGCTGACGTTATGGTTATTTGGTTACCATATAATAGGTATAGATTGTGAGTGCGTTAAACCATGTGGAAAAGCCAAACACACACGCGCTCTGCAGACTAGGGCAAAGATCTGTATTCAGATATCTGTCTGTCTGTCCGCATGAAGGTATAGCAGCCGAGATGGGCTTCGGTTTCCACCACTACGTCGCATTCCTAGTTCAGTCTGACTGGCACGGGTTATATTTGGAGGGGCTGTTTGGATCTCAGACTGTGACTGACGCACGGAGCGACGCAGGCCAGGGAGCAGCTGTGCTTTCTAAAAACGACCCAGACCACTGCTGGTAGTTTAACAACCCTGAACCCAACATATATCGACAGAACAATTCGTCATAAAAATAGCTAAAAAAAAAACTAATGCTTGTTAGTAAGTGAACCAGACACAAGTGCCCTTACGTTGTGATATGATTGAGGTTATGAAGACTAAATTATAGTTAAAAGGAACTCACAACAACAAGCCACGGTATAAAATCGCGCGCCCTAATGAAGCTTGAACCGCATGAGACAACAGACTTTGCTTACCTGTGTTAAACGCGAACCGAACAAACAGTTGAACTCGTCAGGATTGAGCGCTTGGGTCTCCGGTGAGCTTGTCAAACATCTTCTGTTTCTGACAGACTCACTCACGCCACGCGCGCTCAACACACTCAATTAAACGCGCGCGCGCGCGCTCTCGTGCGATCAGCCTCTTCCTGGCACTCAAGCTGCGCGCTCACAGACACAGACACACACACACACACACAGAGCCGGTTAAAAAAAGCAAGACATCCATACCAACATTAGTTAGATGTGAGGAAATTATATGTAAGGCAAAAATATAAAAAACTCGTCTGACACAATGGCAACTGATTCACCAAACATGTCCCTTGTGGTAATAGTTTAGTTTATTATTAGTAGAACTGTAAAATCACAATAAATGGGTAATCCACCAGTCAACACAGAGTAAGAACCTTTTTATTTGTTATAGGTTAATAAACATTTTTATTTATTTATTTATTAATGACTTTTCTATGGTGCATTTTTTTAAAGAATATTATTCATTAAATGTAGAAAAATATACGTTTCAGGATCTAATAGCTTATATCCATGTTTCAAGATAGCTTCTAAGCTGTTTAATATTCTCATCTACAGATAAAAGTGTGCATTTCTCACACAAAGAAAACCACCAAATAGCTACTGCAACGACACCTGTTAGATGAAAAGATTATGCGACACTCAGACTGACACACACACACACACACACACACACCACAACTAGACTTCACAGCTGCACATTGACTCTCTTTCTACCAACGTTTCAGAGAACTGGAGATAGTTTAGCAGTTTTTAGAGAGTGTGTGTTGATAACACCTGATGTTGTCTGTCTCCTTAATTAAATGCCTACACATTTATGAGTGTGCAACTCTGGCAAAACAAGAACATTGTTTCTTGAGGTGTGATGTTTTACCTGTAATCTCAGCCTAAAGGTCCCTGTTCTATCGCTCTCTAACACACACATGCACACATGTTGTCCTTCAAGCCCTCAGGGTTGTGTGTTTTTTCTGTGTTTCTGTTGTGACGGAGGGCAGAGCAGCCGCTATTGTGAAGTTCACAGGACGGAGAGATGGAAAGATGGAGAGCTTGAAAGAAACATCCATATTTTTGTATTTGTTTTGTAAAAGAGCCCAATTTTGTACAACCTTTATCATCAGCCTTCCAGTATTCCGTCAGTTCATCAGTCATTGCTGCACACGAGTCACGCCTGTACACTTCCACTAGCTACTTTACGTAAGCGAGGAATAATCCACGGACAGATAGCGGACGCGGAAGCAAAGAACCACCCAATGCAAATCAATTCAATCAATTATTGCACCGCTAGCTGTAGATTTTTACTCTATAAAAATGTAAATAATAATTACTGGACCAAGAAAGAATGCCAAAACAATGTTAAAATTTATGTAAATACATTCATCAATCTGTCTGAATAATTCTGCAAACCTTATCCAGAAAAAAATATTCAGGCAATGTAAAACAGTCTGTTCCTTATTCTGCTTTCTAGTATGAGCTATTGTATTACATAAACATAGATGTTTAAATAACTCCTGTCCTGACGTGCTCCTGCTGGGAAGGATACACTTGTTCATAATGCCTACAGTATGCCAATCAATGCCGAGGCTCTTCAAAGCATTCCGCCTTACTTAACATGAAACACATGCAAATAATCCAGCTCTCACCCTCTCAGCTTTCTCTAATGACACTTTCACCTGCGTCATCAGCGATGGATTCATCTCGAAAGGTCAAAGGTCAGAATATCTGGCAGTATGTCAACAATGCAGCTACTGTCAACTCTTCTAAACACACTGATATTCACATACTTATATACAAACACACACACCTGTCTCGCTCAATAAATGTCTCCTCATCGCAATATTACATTTCTCTTACGGTAAACACTCGCAGGGAGAATTTCACACCTGCTTTTTGTCAGTGCTTGATTGGTTGAGGTCAAAAGAGTTTGGGAAATGAAGCATTGAACTCGAAATGAGCTTTCAGCAGATTGATCATGAATAGCCATGATGATCCATCTTAAGTTATTTTTGCTTCCTTGAAATATTATTGACTAACAAGAAATGGATGCTGAATGAGTTGTGCGAGTAAAAGTAAAATTATTTAAAAGTAAAATACCGATTTTTTTTCTGATTAATCACCATCCTTTAAACATTATCTAACTATTTCACCACTGCTAAAAAGCAGGAAACGCTTTTGACTCGTTCAGCATTTATTAATAAAGGCAAAATAAGTTTGACCTGAGTTTGCAGTCCGAATTTAATTTGATATAAAATAGCAATCATGAACAAAATAATCTTCAAAACTGGTTCTAGTGAATGAGAAACATACAACATAGCCAGTGTGTGGTCTGATCCACAAACTATCGTCAATGAACCTGTCAAGCATATGCTCTTGTGAACTGTTTATGAGTTTAAATTTTTTTATTTTTTTTTTACACATTGTTATAACAACAGCTACACGATATATGTGTGTATTGCTTTTAATGACCCAATAAGTTTGGTTAAACCATAAAAATATGAAGGAAAAACAACACTAAACTTGGTTACGGTATAGGCTTTTTATCGGACTAAATTATTTGGAAAATAAAAAAAAGGCAAACTACAGCTACAGATTTTCTTTTTGCCCTGCAAAACAAAATTAAAAGGAAAACAAAAAGCATAAAATAACTACAACATGATCAATTATTAATATTTTGTTGGTTCTCTGGGTTTTTTTTGTTGCTTTTTTTTTTTTTGCAGGTTTTCATAATTTCTTTTTATGACGACTTGGACAAAAATTGTGTCGGCACCCAAAAAAACAAACAAAAAAAAAAAACCCCCCCCCAAAAAAACGATTGACTCCATGCACAACTATGCAACTGTGTGTCTGTGTCTGTGTGTATGTGTCAATGTACATGTACATACGTATACGTATATGCGTGTGTGTATATATATATATATATATATATATATGTACATATGTATATGTAGGTATATGTATATATTATACAAGTTAAAGGTTCACTGTACACTGTATAATTTATAGCATTAGGTGAGAGAGAATTAAATGAAACCGATCATATCGGATCATATCGAATCAAAATGAGAGCTTTTGATTTGTGATTGAAACAAGTAAGCAAACCCTATCAATACCGAGCTGTATTATGAAGCTAGACTGTAAAACACAGGTACTTCCGGATATGAAGGGCATCTGAGAGGCAACAGCCAAGGAGGAAAGACGCCAGTGAACTTAATTACATCATCACATTTTAAAACGTCATTTACAGCTCATTAAGTTTTTGACTGTAGTCTCTTTTACACCACATAGACTGAAGGTATTTATCGCCCTAGAATGCAGTGTTGAAGACTGAAGACTGTAAAAAAACAACAATGCACTGCTCAAGCATTATTAGTTAGTGCTATGGGCGAAGAAAAACATGCTTATATAATCATAACAGTCCGATACCTCGATAAACATTCATCTGTCTACCCCCCCACCCCCCCCAAAACATCCTCTTCCCTCTGTATCCATGGAGACAGTTGGTTCAGGCTCCTTCAAGACAAAAATAGCATGGGAATAATAATCGAACAAACACTTGAATTCATGTGTGGTGACACTCAGACTCGTACCCCAGCCTGATAATCTCAACTCAATCTGCTCAGCTGTTGGATCTGGCACTGGATGATCACAACACGATGCGAACTATGACCAAAAAAATGCAGAAAGCACGCCCACCACTTTAGACTACCATCCACAGAGAGGAAATAAAAAGACAGCCTTTAATATCAGCGATTTTAATCACATGAAAACAATAGAAACACAAAAACGAATTATTTTTTAGTGACAAACTCATTCTCTATTCTGTATAACTGTTCTTTTCCCCGGGCGATGATTGTAGACTGAACAGAAGGAGGTATAACAAGGGTTACAGTAAGACCACGTCTTTCTCCCAGCAATTAAATGATCATCATCATCAAGGAAAGAAATCAACAGCTCTTGCATTAGATTATATGTCAGTATTCATTACAAAAATAAGATATTAGCAGTGGCAGACAGCCAGCAGCTTCACTTTGGGCTAGAGGGCAAGACAGAGAGAGAGAGAGAGAGTGAGAGAGAGAGAGAACAGATCTTCCCTCGACCAGCACAACCCTGGCCTTGAAGGTCCACCCACAGAGAAGGGGCGGGGCCTGTGTTCAAAGCCCCGCCCAGATCATGCCAGATGTTAAGAGCAGAGCGTGTGAGTGCAGGAGTGTTAATAGTTAAGAGCAGTGAGAGTGAGTGGCGGTAGTAGCGGGTTAAAGTGCTCTACTGCTGGGGGTAATAGGGCTGCTGCTGTGGGGGTTGTTGGGGGTAAGGGTAGGGCTGCTGTGTAGGAGGGGCTCCAGGGTACCCAGCCTGCCCCTGGGCTTGATAGGGCATGTAGGGCATATTAAACTGCCCGTATGCATAGGGGTTATAGGCCATTGGCATCTGGTAACCTGGATACCTGAAAGAGAGGGAAAATAACAACATTATGTTTCAAGCCTCCCTAATATCTGCACATGTGAGCACAGTTCTAAACCCAGATGAGCTTTCTTACTGTTGACTACTTTAAAGGGGTGATGAACTGAGAAATCAAATTTTCCTTGAGCTTTTGACATCTAAGAGGTCATCATATTATAAGAATATCCTGTAAGTTTCAGAACTGAAAACGTCCTTGTTAGTTCAATTAAAGTTTTTCAAAGTGGGGAACTATGACGAAAAAGAGGATAAAACACAACCCCCTGCAGAAGAAGATCAACGCCTACTTCAACACGGCCGGTTTAGCCCCGCCCACTGATTCGCACATTACACGCATAACGAAATAACATAGATGCCTACCTCGTGATGACAAACCGGATCGAGCAACCGAGCAATGCAAAACATTGTGCAGTGCCTGGTTGTAGAAGACAGTCGCTGCATAAGCTTCCTCTGGATTTCAATAGGACTGCATGGATAAACTTTATTTTTAATGACGTTCCACTCCAGCTGATGAGGGTAAAACATTATCCGTCTGTCCGCTTCATTTCACTGAGGATTGTTTTGTAGACCGATTAAGAGTAAAGAACGGTGCTGTGCCGTCTATATTGGATCTGACAGGAATGGTCCAACACGCCTCATCATCGGGTCGAACATGTATGGGCGAATCATTCCGGTTGCCGTTTTACAACATTGGATGTTTTCAAAACAATTTCCCCCAAATGCATCGACGGGTGAGTCGAAACTCATTATAATATGCAAAACTGTTCTCCACTCACAGTAGTGGGCGTTTACTTCCAAGTCTTCAGTGCGAGACGCCCATAAAAAACGTGCGTTTCTGAGCTGGGCTTAAAACTAGGGTAGAAAATAGCCTATCACTTATTCATTTTGATGTTTTTGAATGCAAAAACCAAGTGAACGTCATAAATTGACCTCAGACAACAATGTAATACAATTTAAAAAGCCAGTTCATGACCCCTTTAACCTTAACATTTAACTAATAGATATAACCATACCAAGTTAAGTTATCTCGGTACATTAAGACATCTATTTGTATTACATGTTTTCTGAAATGTCATGTTTAAATATGCATGTACTTGAGAATGCCTTTATTTACCCTGGGTAGCCTTGATAAGAGGGATAGGGTGGTCCTTGAGCCTGTGAGGGTCCAGTGGGTGCAACAGGTGGAGGATTAGTGCTGCCGGGACCCATCGGAGAACTGACTGGAGCTGAAGCACTGGCAGCCTGAGGAGTGATGCTCGGGGGCGGTGGTCTCGCTGGGGGCTGGGGCTTAGCCTGAGGCTGCTGCGCGTTCTGGGACAGAAATACAAATAAGAATATTTCCAGCAATCAACAACTTGCTTCTTTTTTAAGCAGGGACGGATTATGGCGATGATGTGCCCTGGGCACGGATGTCTCAAAGGCCCCTTTCAACACATTTTGCGACAATTTATTTAGTTATTTTTTACATTTTTGCTAAATCATGCATATTTTATGAGTCATACGAATTGTATGAATTCATTCTGGGCACAGTAGCCTACCTGCTTTTTCTCTTTCATCACGACAACAGACGGCAATCAAATGCGAGTTGAGCACTAACGAAGTTTGGGGTGGTGGGGGAAGTGACGTATGCCGTAAAGCGGTTGAATTTTGTAGTTCTTTTTGTAGTTCTTGAAGTTACAAAGTGCTAGTAAAAGTGATACAGACACCTTCAGGCTACGGCAGATGTGTCATTCAACCTATTGTAAGTCGATGTACCATCTCAATGGGTTTTGGTAATATATTATAAAGGTTGAAAAGTTCCACAGTATGGCTTTAAGCCTAAAGTATATTTAATTTTTTTATGCATACATTAGCGTGCGGATCCAGTCAAACGCACAGCCTTTCAAAGCATTTTATAGCATGAGCAAACACAGGCTCTCAACCATGTGCGCTAGACAGATTCATCCTTGTTTAGTGTCTATGATTTTTCTCTCTTAAAGGTGCCATCTGGAACTAAAAATCAAAAAATATTCCCTATTCCATAACAGATGGGGGCAGTATACCTCCAGAAAATGTGTTGTGCCGCGGCTGCGCGCACTCTCACGTCTTCAAACAACACAAGCGAGCGCTGTTTTGCTCTCTTTCTCCGCATATTATTCAAATCATTTGACACGATAGTAAAAGGTTGGAAGACCGCAGTTTCACGTGGAGCATTTGGAGATTTTTAGAGATCAGAGACTCAATGAACAACATCTCAACACTAAATGATGAAGACCGCCTCATAGATGCCTGTCTCAAAAACAAGCTGGTGCATTTCGACGATATGGGAAAATAAAAGCCTGGGCTATTATTTTAAGTTTACGGTATTCGTTTTGTTCATATTACACTTTTATTGTTAGTTTGAATTAATTTGACAGACAGCATTCGCTGATGTTGATCAACCTAGTGCCATTCAGAGCTGCCAACTCTCACGAATTCACCGTGAGACACACGCAATTGACACTTAGCAAGCAGGTTAGTTAAGCTTCTCAGATTCTGTCAATTTAATTACGCAATTCAAACAATACATGCAGTTTTGGCGCTTGTAAATGTTACACGACAGATCCCTAGCGCACGTGAACCGATCATCTCTACTAGCTAATGGTAAAAGAACACGAACACTGTTGAAAGATACAGTATGTTACAACTTACCAAAATGTATTCCTCATGCATAATATCCACCAATCATTTTTTTGAACTCATCCCTGAACTGAAATGTAGTAGTGGGCTGTATTTCCACACGACTGACATCAGGTTCAAGTACACACAAGCCGCGCGACTTACTCGTCTATTGCAGTTTGGCTGGTGGTAACGTTGCCCGCCCGCATACCGCCTCCCATGGCCGAAACTGGTATTACAACACCTGCCGGGCCGGCGCTAGTAATTTAGCATGCTAATTCAGGTTAATATCTCGGCAGCACTATAACTTGTCAGGTTTTTAATTACATCATTGCACTTATTTCTTCTCATTCTTTTGATGCGTGTAGCTCATTTTTGGGATATTTTTACCTCAATTATTACATATGGCACCTTTAAAGTAAAAGTTTAAACTAGTTTTGTGGTAATCTTTTAATCCCCATCACACAAGTGCTTGTCCAACTTGGGTCAGTGTTGCCACACTGTGAACAAGCCAATTGGTGCAAATTCAAGGCGCATACACATATATTGCACACGTGGTTAGAAAAATAGTCGTGCGTGTAAAAACCAGAGTATACTTTGGGCTTTAGAAATCATGTGTCTGGGAACTCACAAACACAGTCCTGGGTGCAGGGGTTGGGCCTCCTGGGACAGGAGCAGGGGTGTTGGACTGGTATGATGGGACGTTGAATGAAGGAGCGCTCGGCTCACGAGCGATGCTCTGCTGCAGCTCCCTGTCAATCAAACACAGGCATAGAGTATGAGCCGATCACAGTCCTTCAGTAAGAAAAAAAGGCCTTGATGATTTGTTAGCGTGACATACTTAAGCAGTTCATCCCTCTCAGTTTTGCGAGCGAAGACAATGTCGCTGCACTTATTTTGAAACTTCAGCAGGATTTCTGTCAGATCATTGTAGAACTGAAAGAAGACGAAGACAGTTGAGTGACATCCTACAGATTGTGCATGTGTACAGAACTAATATTAGGGCATGCAATAGTTACTTTAGTGCCCTCTTTGGTATTGGAGCTGATCTCGATGTAGCTATCATGGGCCGCAGCAAGCTTCTTTAACACCTCCTCTCTGCTATTAGCCTCAGAGTTGGATTGCTTCAATGCTGAAAACTCCTGGTGAGACACCTGAGACGAGCAGGAAAGCAATTTTAAAATGAAAAAGTACTCCCCACAGTTGCAGTAGCAGCAACTATTACATTAAATGTTAATTTAAAGTGCACCTATTATGCTTTGGTTTGGAGTCTCCTACAAAAGGGTTTACATGCATCCAAGGACAAAAAAAATTCTCATAATATACATTGAGACTAATCAGCTATGACTTCCTCAGTGCTTGTAAACACAGTGATACGAGTTACTGTCCTCGATAGAGGTTTCCACAGACTCTACCAGGAGTGAATGGTACACTCGTTTTCATAACGGATATTCTGATTGGTCATGCGTGAGTGTATGAGTGCACCTGTATCTGTGACAGCAGTTCCTCCTGTCGGCGCAAGTTCTGCTGAACACGTTGTGTGTGAGAGCCGTAGCGAGTGTCCAGCTCATTGGTGGTCATGGCCTCCTCGTTAATGGCACCATCTTGAGCGAGTGCGGTAAGGAACTTTGTCGTCAGGTCAAAGGTCACCGCCTTCACCTCTCCCTCCAGAACTTCCCGTTCCCTCTTCACCTCATCCAGCTGTGCCAGCTGAGCTCTCAGCACGTTCACCACCTGCACAGAAGAGACAAGCCTGGACTGAAGGATAGCATTTGAGTTTGGTCTGGGTTAAGGCTCGTTCACACCAGGAATGCTAACCATACAGATAACTGTAACCATAACTATATTAGTATGCTCGAGCTCTTACAAGTTTCTCTGTGCTGTTATTGAATGTAGTGATATCCATCCATCAATCCATCCATAGACCTTAACTTATAAAATATTATAGTACCTTAACTTAAATTTATTTCAATTAGTTCCCAAGGCAACATTTATAATTTTCTAACTTTAAGCTTTCATCAACTATTTTGTTTTTTTTACATCTATTAAAAATGGTTTTTAATAGTTTTAGTTAATGATAATGGCACTGAGCTCACCTCACTGCCCTGCAGAGTCTTGGCAGGGTTGGCAGACGGTATGGCGGCACTGATCTCATTCTCTGGCTTGCAGAGCAAAGCAATCATCCCACAATGTTCATTGTAACGCCCTTTCACCACCTGATCAGCCTGCACTGCCTTGTCCAGTATATTGCAAAAATTATTTCCCTCTGCACAGGATTAAAAGAGAGAGAGAGAGAGAGAGAGAGCGCCATCATGAGCAAAGCAAGAGGTTACTGTAGCTTGACTGCTAGAACATGATGACACTAGTAACACCAAAGTCATGAGCAGGAAACATACAAACTGATAATGTGTTTACCTAGAATGCACTGTAAGACTTATTTGGTAAATGCATCTGCTTAATGCATAAATGGGGTGGAAGCGTGCATGTACCTGCTCTGAGTGATTTATACAGATCTCCAGAGGGAGTTCTGTTCCAGCGCTGATTGAATTTAGCTCTGAGTTCATTGTCTGTCGTTTCCTCTTCATCTAATATCTTCAAGGACTGTAACACCAAAACACAATATTTTTGTTCATGAAACAAATTGGCATGAAGTGCAAGTACATACAGTCAGATGGTGTCATACGGTGTCATACATACAGTGGGTTCAAGAGTCTAAGGCCACTTTTGTAAATAAAAATCTTTGAATTTTGAAAAATCAGGATAAAAATGTCAACTCCTTTGTGAAGAATGTCAGTGGTTTTTGCTTTCATTGAAGCACAAGTTTCTCTGGTAATTTTCACTCAAATTGTTATACTGAAAATGTTAATAGGTATTAAATAACATGCAAGTAACAAGTGGTCTCAGTCTCTAGCATATTGTTGTGCATTGTGTGCATCACCTCATCCAGGATCTCACGGTTCCTCTGCAGAAGTTCAGGGAGATCTCGAATCAGCTGTTCGATGCTCTGCAGGCCTCCGTGCTGAATAACTGCACGACTCTTATCCAGGATGGACTGAGGCACAGCGTCTCCTGACAGATCTTCTAGTGCAGCCGGCAGATTCAAAGACGCCAACACCCTAACCGATCAACAAAAACCAATCAATCACCTCTAAAACCCTTAATAATCCACTCAATCACCTCCAAAACCCTTAATAATACACCCAATCACCGCTAATATCCGTAATAATCCACTCAATCACCTCTAAAATTCGTAATAATCCACTCAATCACCTCTAAAACCCGTAATAATCCACTCGATCACCTCTAAACACTTAATAATCCACTTGATCACCTCTAAAACCCGTAATAGTCCACTCAATCACCTATAAAAACCCGTAATAATCCACTCAATCACCTCTAAACACTTAATAATCCACTCGATCACCTCTAAAACTCGTAATAATCCACTCGATCACCTCTAAAACACTTAATAATCCACACGATCACCTCTAAAACCCGTAATAATCTACTCAATCACCTCTAAAACACTTAATCCATTCGATCACCTCTAAAACTCATAATAATCCACTCGATCACCTCTAAACACTTAATAATCCACTCGATCACCTCTAAAACTCGTAATAATTCACTTGATCACCTATAAAAACCCGTAATAATCCACTCAATCACCTCTAAACCCGTAATAATCCACTCGATCACCTCTAAACTCATAATAATCCACTCAATCACCTCTAAAACTCGTAATAATCCACTCAATCAATCTCTAAAATCCGCAATAATCCACTCAATCACCTCTAAAATTCGTAATAATCCACTCAATCACCTCTAAAACTCGTAATTATTCACTTGATCACCTCTAAAACCCGTAATAATCCACTCGATCACCTATAAAAACCCGTAATAATCCACTCAATCACCTCTAAAACCCGTAATAATCCACTCAATCACTCTAAAACACTTAATCCACTGGATGGCCTCTAAAACACTTAATCCACTCAATCACCTCTAAAAGACTTAATCCACTCGATCGCCTCTAAAACTCGTAATAATCCACTCGATCTACTCTAAACACTTAATAATCCACTCAATTACCTCTAAAACCCGTAATAATCCACTCAATCACCTCTAAACACTTAATAATCCACTCGATCACCTCTAAAACTCGTAATAATCCACTTGATCACCTCTAAAACACTTAATAATCCACACAATCACCTCTAAAACCCGTAATAATCCACTCAATCACCTCTAAAACACTTAATCCACTCGATCACCTCTAAAACTCATAATAATCCACTCGATCACCTCTAAACACTTAATAATCCACTCGATCACCTCTAAACACTTAATAATCCACACAATCACCTCTAAAACCCGTAATAATCCACTCAATCACCTCTAAAACACTTAATCCACTCGATCACCTCTAAAACTCATAATAATCCACTCGATCACCTCTAAACACTTAATAATCCACTCGATCACCTCTAAAACTCGTAATAATTCACTTGATCACCTATAAAACCCGTAATAATCCACTCAATCACCTCTAAAACCCGTAATAATCCACTCGATCACCTCTAAAACTCATAATAATCCACTCGATCACCTCTAAAACTCGTAATAATCCACTCAATCACCTCTAAAATACGCAATAATCCACTCAATCACCTCTAAAATTCGTAATAATCCACTCAATCACCTCTAAAACTCGTAATTATTCACTTGATCACCTCTAAAACCCGTAATAATCCACTCGATCACCTATAAAAACCCGTAATAATCCACTCAATCACCTCTAAAACCCGTAATAATCCACTCAATCACCTCTAAAACACTTAATCCACTGGATGGCCTCTAAAACACTTAATCCACTCAATCACCTCTAAAAGACTTAATCCACTCGATCGCCTCTAAAACTCGTAATAATCCACTCGATCTACTCTAAACACTTAATAATCCACTCAATTACCTCTAAAACCCGTAATAATCCACTCAATCACCTCTAAACACTTATAATCCACTCGATCACCTCTAAAACTCGTAATAATCCACTTGATCACCTCTAAAACACTTAATAATCCACACAATCACCTCTAAAACCCGTAATAATCTACTCAATCACCTCTAAAACACTTAATCCACTCGATCACCTCTAAAACTCATAATAATCCACTCGATCACCTCTAAACACTTAATAATCCACTCGATCACCTCTAAAACTCGTAATAATTCACTTGATCACCTCTAAAACCCGTAATAATCCACTCAATCACCTATAAAAACCCGTAATAATCCACTCAATCACCTCTAAAACCCGTAATAATCCACTCGATCACCTCTAAACACTTAATAATCCACTCGATCACCTCTAAAACACTTAATAATCCACTCGATCACCTCTAAACACTTAATAATCCACTCAATCACCTCTAAAACCCGTAATAATCCACTCGATCACCTCTAAACACTTAATAATCCACTCGATCACCTCTAAAACACTTAATAATCCACTCGATCACCTCTAAACACTTAATAATCCACTCAATCACCTCTAAAACCCGTAATAATCCACTCGATCACCTCTAAACACTTAATAATCCACTTGATCACCTCTAAAACCCGTAATAATCCACTCGATCACCTCTAAAACTCGTAATAATCTACTCAATCACCTCTAAAACACTTAATCCACTCGATCACCTCTAAAATTCATAATAATCCACTCATTCACCTCTAAAACCCGTAATAATCTACTTAATCCCCTCTAAAACCCGTAATAATCCTCTCGATCACCTCTAAAACCAGTAATAATCCACTTGATCACCTCTAAAACACTCGATTATCCACTCAATCACCTCTAAAACCCATAATAATCCACTCAATCAACTCTAAAACACTTAATAACCCACTCAATCACCTCTAAAACACTGAATAATCCACTCAATCACCTCTAAAACACTTAATAATCCACTCAATCACATCTAAAACACTTAATAATCCACCCAAAACACAGTCTAGATGTGTATAAAAACTATTAATTAGAGATTAACATTTATACGGCATATTCAGGTTTAACAAAATGCATCATGTGCATTATTTCATTAGTGAATAGTGCCTTAAAACAACTAAATATTAGTGAGAGTGAGACTCAGGGATGCACACTCATCTGGGGTGAAAAGGTGACAAAGAATCGGGAAGAAGACCTTTAAATCAGCTTTAAAATGTGGATTTACAGGCGATTTTAGGATGAGAATACAGAGAATCCTCCCATGACTATTTATAGTGTTTTATTAACAGAATAAAAAATCTCTAATTTACTTGTCTCAGGCCACATTCACACTGTTGTTTTTTATGGAACCCATTCAACATCGCTAAATAATAATCTAAAATACAATTTTTTTTAAATTGATAATATTTTCAAAACATGAAATCTGTTTTATTCAATGTTAGCGAATCAGATTAGTGGAAGTTTACTGACAAGCCTTAAAAATTGATCATTTCAGACAGAGGGTCAGAATGAAGGTTGAAAATAATATATATTTTTTTGTGTGCAAAAAACTTGATTCACATTATACATGAACCTTAAGGAACATTAAAATAATTATAAAATAATAAAACCCATGTCAATACTAGAACTATTATTTTGGCAGAAAACTGCATGATTGACAACCCCCAAAAAACTATCACAGAAATCCCACAAATGATCTATTTTATATTTTATATAAGTTTTATACAAGCATGCATCCCTGAATAATTCTCAATGTTCATGTTAATGTACTTTTAATGGAGTTTAAATTGACTTGTGTAAGAGAGAATAAATGCACAAACACGGACCCATTGCAGAGATTTGTTGCTTCTCTCATGCTGCCAATCAATCTGTTGACTGTGTCAGCCTTCCTGGAATTGGCTGCGCTCACTGACTGCTGAACTGCCATCGGCACCATCTTCTCAAACAGATCTAAACAAAAAAAGTGCATTATTTGCATTTCATTGGAAAAAAAAAGAAAAAAAAAAAAGAGTTGAAGGTCAACTGAATGTCATCGTTCTGACCTGTGAACTTCTGGCTGAGTGGAATCTGCACTGCAGTTGCTTTGACCAGAGATGCTTTGCCAATGTGCTCCAGGTCTTTGACCTCCGGCACACGATCATGGTAAATGAAATCGTTGTCCTTCTTTGCAGCCGTGAGCGCACGACTGATCTTATCTGACAGATCCTTTACGTTAACGTACTCATCGTATCTGGAAGCCGCAGTCTTCACCAGCTCTGTGGCGTGCTGCAAAACACGCATGAGAAACCTCAACATCAACGTCCAATTAAGGTAATCTATTTATTTAAAAGAGTAATTAACTTTTTTTAAAAAAAAAACTTTTGCTGATAATTTACTCACCACCCATTTCATCCAAGATGTCCATGTCATTCTTTCTTCAGTCGAAAAGAAATTAAGGTTTTTGATGAAAACATTCCAGGATTTTTCTCCATATAATGGACTTTACTGGGCACCAAACGGTTCAAGGTCCAAAAGACAGTTTTAGTGTAAACTGCAAACTGTTCAAAGGGCTATAAAAACTTTTGGATGACGAATAAGGGTCTTATCAAGCGAAATAATAGCTCATTTAAAAAATAATAAAACAAAGTTTAAGTTTTATAAGATCAAATGCTCGCCTAGCTCTGTTCTGTGATGCGCGTTCATGACTCTCCTGTTTGAACTTGTTTATCAAAATGAACTAATCTTTTTTCATGTCATTTGTTCATTCAACTAACGAAATATACGAGTTCGAACAGGAGAGTCACGAACGCTCATCACAGAACAGAGCAAGGCGAGCATTAGTGCTTATAAAACTTAAAACTTTGTTATTTATTTTTGAAATGATCGTTTCGCTAGATAAGACCCTTATTCATCCTCTGGTGTCGTTTAAAGCCCTTAGAACAGTTTGCTGTTTGCACTGAAACTCCTTGCACTGAAACCTTGGACCGTTTGGACCCCATTGAAATGCATTATATGGAGAAAAATCCTGGAATGTTTTCATCAAAAACCTTAATTTCTTTTCGATGGAAGAAAGAAAGACATGGACATCTTGAATGACATGGGGGTGAGTAAATTATCAGCAAAAATTTTTTTTAAAAGTGAACTACTCCTTTAACACGTTAGCAGCAATGGCTATACAGGTGAAAACAAAAAAAATTGAATATCGTGCAAAGGTTAATTTATTTCAGCAATTCAACCTAAAAGGCTAAACTAATATATTATATAGACTCATATTTCAAAGTGAGATATTTCAAGCCTTTAATTGTTATAATTTTGAAGTATACAGCTTATGAAACCCCCAAACTCAAAGTTAGAATATTGTGAAAATGTTTTCATATCTGTGAGCCATAATCATCAAAATTATAACAAATAGAGGCTTGAAATATCTCACTTTGCATGTAATGAATATATTAGTTTCACATTTTAAGTTGAATTACTGACTAACTTTCACATGTCATTCCAATTTTTCAAGTTTCACCTGTATTCATGGCAATCAAAATTATTTGAATTAAAAAAAAAATAATCTCAAAACGGAATAAATAAATCAAGCAGCCAAGAAGTCCGTCGCACACAGAGAAACACACCTGCAGCCGAGCAATCTCCTCTCCGAACTTTTTCTTCTGATTGGCCAAGGCTGACTGGTGCAGCTCGGCGGTGGCCTGCATCATACAGTGCTTGGCGGCCAGGACTGGAAGCACTTCCTGGAAATAAAAATACTGACCAGGGAAAGGCAACCACAGCAATCACAAACGCCACAGCAACCACAAACCAACACCACGGGCAACCACAAACGAGCACAGACACACAGCACAGGGCGCAGGAAGAGAAAACAGAACAGCAAATCAGCACGCATCCTTCAGCAAACCCCAACCAAATCCTCACACAACGCTCATGCAGCGTTCACTCACAGATCAGTAAGAGAAGAAACAAAGGCTGGAGACTTTGGGAGTGTGTGACTGTATGCGGGGTGACTAGCAGTCATACGGGAATCAAGGTAACTCAAATCTATCGACGCACGCATCCAGACATTTAAGGGTGCTCCGATAGATCAGGCAGCACACGTTATCGGCCGATAACACTTATAGAATTTGATCGGTGGTCTCCATAAAATCAGATAATGCAAAATTCGGGAGAATTTCTCTATGCACAGCTAAAATTGCTTCGCATTCACCATTTCAACCAGTTTTTTTTTAAAAAGACAATACATTTGCAATGTCATTGCAATGACAGCAATGGCAGCAATACACTAGAGCTGTGCAATTTTTGTGCATTTCTCTAATTCGCACATTGGACAAGCCCAACTTAATGTCCAAATAAGCTAAATCAAGGATTGTTGTAAAATGATGTCTACTGTTGCTAAACTGCAAGACATCCTCGATAATAAAGAGTTTTAAAACCCCCATTAAGACGCAAAGATACACTGTTCCCCAAGCGGCTTTCTGTGCACGCGCTCCGAGACAGGTGGAACATGGACAAGTGAACTTTGAGCTTTGGGTTAAAACAATATGCCGATTTGGTGAGTATTCACATAAACACAGTCGGTTATGTTTTCAGTGAACTTAAAGGAGCAGTTCACTTTAAAAAAAAATTTTTTGCTGATGATTTACTCACCCCCATGTCATCCAAGATGTCCATGTCATTCTTTCTTCAGTCGAAAAGAAATTAAGGTTTTTGATGAAAACATTCCAGGATTTTTCCTCCATATAATGGACTTCAATGGGAACCAAACGGTTCAAAGTCCAAAAGACAGTTTCAGTGCAAACTGCAAACTGTTCAAAGGGCTTTAAATGATTCCAGACAATGAATAAGGCTCTTATCAAGTGAAACAATTGCTCATTTAAAAAAAAAAAAGTTTACGTTTTATACGCTCAAATGCTCGCCTTACTCTGTTCTTTGATGTGCGTTTGTGACTCTCCTATTCAAACTCGTTCATCAAAATGAACGAATCTTTTCCAGTCAACTCCTTCATTCATTTGTTGAATGAACCAAATGACACGAAAAAAGATTCGTTCATTTTGATGAACGAGTTCACCAGCAGAGTCACAAATGAGCATCACAGAACAGAGCAAGCCGACCATTTGAGCTTCTAAAACTTAAACATTTTGTTTTTTAAATGAGCAATCGTTTCACTTGATAAGACCCTTATTTATCGTCTGGAATCGTTTAAAGCCCTTTGAACAGTTTGCAGTTTGCACTGAAACTGTCTTTTGGACCTTGAACCGTTTGGTTCAAACGGAAGTTTTCATCAAAAACCTTAATTTCTTTTCGACTGAAGAAAGAAAGACATGGATATCTTGGATGACATGGGGGTGAGTAAATTATCAGCAAAAGTTTTTTTTAAAGTGAACTACTCCTTTAAACAGTTGGGAAATAAACCGCATGTGTAACAGTATCCTGGATCTGTGCATTCGATCTTAAAGTGACAGCAGTCTAATATGCCCGTTGCTCTCTGTGTTCCTTAATGTTCAAACAACAAATGACAATGAGAAAATGACTTTGCTATTTAGGAGATTTAATAGGATTAATCTATATTTTATTTATACAATGAAGACTATGCTGTGTTGTTTTAGGCTGGATTAAAGTACTTTCTGTTGATAACGTTTTTTATTATTTCACAGGATAGCTATACAGTACTTGTTAAGCTCTAAGCTGTTCCTAATCTCCTCTAAGTAAGGGAATTGAATATGTTGCTTGCCAATAAATAAAAAGTTCATGATTTCATGATACTTTCTTATCTTTTAATTTTAATACTTAAAGGAATAGTTCACTTAAAAATGTAATTTGTCATCATTTACTCACCCTCAAGTTTTTTCAAACCTGTATGAATTTCTTTCTTCCGTTGAACACAAAAGCAGATATTTTGGAGAATGTCAGTAACCAGACAGTTGATGGACCCCATTGTCTTCCATAGTATTTTCTTTTCCTACAATGGAAGTCAATAGGCTTTAAGCCGAGCGTCACGTGACCAAACTGGAAATCTGGTCTCATCGCATCCGCTTGTCAGAGAAAGTGTTAATGGCCGTAAGAACTGACTACGATATCTATGGATTTTTAAGGTAATCAGCTAACCTACCTAGTTCACTTTGTTATTGGCGTTTTATTCCATTTAAATATCTAAACGTTACTGTGTAGAAGAAAAACATAAAACGTTTAAATATCAATCTGCACATGTGAGGGACATTGGTTGTGCTAATCTTTGTTCGCTCCTTTTATCTTGAGTATAACTGCAAAAAACTTCATGAAGCACATACAAAAGACCTAAACTGGAAGTAATGCAATCTGTTCTACAGAATGCGGAAGTAAGTTGTGCATAGAGCCTATGAGGTCTGGCAACTGTCTGGTTACTGACATTCTTCAAAATATCTTCCTTTGCGTTCAGAGGAAGAAATTCATACAGGTTTGAAACAACTTGAGGGTAAAAAGTGACAGTTGAAGAGTAAATGACAGAATTAAAATTTAAGTGAACTATTCCTTTAACATACATTGTTGTTAAAGAGTAACTAAACACTTAACCAATTTTTTTAGTTAATAATCTGTAAGAATGGATCTTTATTAATACCAGTCATTGATTCGAGTAACTTTTTTGGCATTTGTTTATAAAGTGTTCTATTTCTACAATATATGGTGTAAAAACGTCTTAATGCTGCCCTCTTCAGGTTGAACGGTGGCTACTGCAGTTGAATTTTCCTACTGAATGTTTGCGGTAGTACGTGACACAGCGGTTGTTGGTGACGTAGGCAAGTTCCATACAAAGAGATGCGTCTCAGGTGCACGCCCACTTCCGCTGGGCTCTGCCCACTTTTCCAGCATTTTTCAAATATTGCCAGTGGGTGGAGTCAGGCTCTGACCAGGGGTTTAGTTACCCTTTAAAGGTGCATTGCGCAAGTTTTTGCAGAACTACACCCCCTCTGGCGACAAGCGAAACTGCAACCAGAGGTGTGCACGCTCATGGACCACAAACACACACGCTTGCATGAGTTGTTCATAACCAAAGGAGCATCAGCCGCACAAATCTTTTGTTACAGTCATAATTTCTTCAGAGGTAATAAAGTTATAAATCTGCAAGTCATTTTAAATATATGAAAGGAAAGGCATTTGAGTAAATTACACACTTATGCGTGTGTGAGGGGGAAACGGGGGAAGTAGAAACTTTGTTTCCATCTATCTCCATGTTGAACTGTTTTATGTGCTTTATTGTATTATTATGGAAACACGCTCATGAACATTATAAGTTAATACATTGTATAGGACCCGTTTGAGCCCTAGAGCAGACCGGAGATCTCTCCATTTGTTGAAAGCCTTCCCGATGTTGACACTTCTTATTCCGACGCCTGGCAATAGACAGAAGTTTTATTTTCTTTGTCTTACGTGGAGTTTGCGTTGGGGTTTAGAATGAACTACAAGCCGGTCTCTTTAAATCCATCTTCTACTTTTGTAGAAAGTTGACTAAAGTTTTGTCGCTTGAGTTGTCTTCGCTGGAACGGAGAATGGCGAAAATACACAAACCTCAAACTCCGTCCCGAATCCCTCTTATTTATTTTAGTGTACAGGATTATAGAGGCAATCGCAGTGATCAGAGAAGGGCTCATTCAGCCCATCAGGCAATTGTTTAAGCATGTATGGGTTAGAAAAATGGGTATTTTTAACATGAAATGTTGCATAATGCACCTTTAAGAAAAGTGAAATAACCCCTGTGGATTTATTTGAAGCCTTCCATCATCCTGGTATTATTTCTTTCAGTGATCAGTATAGAACGATACTGCATTCAGTGATCCTGATCGGAGCACCCTTACATACAGTTTGTGGGGATCTTTGACTAACCGTCTCTAGTGACCCCTAGTGGACCACTTTAACCACTCATGTGTCTGTCATGTGTGTTGGCAGCTGCACATACCTTGGGCAGATTCTCTTTGTATTGACATTGCTTAAAAGCGTCGCCGTAGTAATCTGCTGCCTGGTTGGCGAGTTTAGCGACAATGGCGTCCTTCATCTTATCTGCGAGATGAAACAGAGGACAATTAAAATTGTGTCAACTCAAAGCAGAAAAATGCACAGATATAAACACAGATAAACGCACCAGCAGTGGCCTTGAGAACGAAGACCTCCTGTGCCTGGCTGAGCATGATCTGACTGAGCGTGCCCACCGTCTCGGGGGAGATGTCCATGGTGGGCTCTCGATTCAGTGCAGACAGCACAGTGTCCTTTATATGAGCAAATGCACCACTCGCCAGCTGGAAAGAGACGCAGATGCTGGTAACATTTTCTCTCTCTCTCGATTGTCTGTGTTGGAGGATTTAAGGTAAAACTCAAACCTGGTAGAACTTGGCGGCAGTCTTAAGTCCTTCGTCATTGTCGAGATTCTGCTCAGAAGCAATCTGACTCGCCAGCGCACCGACATTAAACAACACGCACGTCTTCTCATAGCCCACACTTGCCAATGCTGAAACACAAAAACAGGATAAACCACACAAAGGTCTTTTATGCAAACCTTTTCATTCCTTTTTATTAAAAGGGTCCAATTATGTTTATTAAAATTTTTAACTTTCATTAGTGTGTAATGTTGCTGTTTAAGCATGAAAAAGCTCTGCAAAGGTACAAACACAAAGTCACTCAGAGTGACTTATTCTCTATATCAGCGTCACTGTTTCTGAACTCCCTGAAACGCCTCCATTGTAGTCTTGAGTTTTCTTCCGGGAACAAACACGTCACAATATTCCTCATTTAAATAATTCCTGCCTAAAGCATACACTAAATAAAGGGGAGAGGACTGGTTGAGTTAGTTAGTAGTGTGTTGAAACTGGTGGTTATGGTAAAAGGGCTGGACATTTCCCAAACACGCTCAAAGCAGTTGACCAATTACAACACACTGATCCAGCTGACCAATCAGAGCTCATTGAGCTTTTCAGAAGGAGGGGCTTCATAAGCCCCTTTCACACAGCGCGTTGATTCCGGGAAATTGCCAGAACGCCTTCTGTGTCAACGCAAACACGACCCGGGATTGATACCGGCATCGATGCCGGGTTGGGGACCTAGTAACATTGCCAGGATCAGACCCGGAACGCGTGCTGTGTGAACAAAAGCCAGGACCAATGCCGTAAGGGGTGTGTCATAGTGATGACGCTCGTGCCATCGCGCGACTCTGTTGCTCTTAGAAGAAAGTTTGTGTTCATCATCAACAAAGAAAGGACGAACAAATGTCTGCAAACTGGAACGAAGCAGAGACCAGGAGCTCCTCACTATCCGCGCTGAAGCTGATATCATTCACCAGCTTTGTGGAACGGTATGCGCGTGTACATGTTTTCGACGCGTACGTTACACATCTCATGCTGACGTCATGTGTCTTTCCGGGATCTTTCCGGGTTGTGTGTGAACGCACTCACAGATCCCAGCAAATCACTGGCAGTGTGAATAACCCGAAATCAAACAATCTAGTGAAAAATGCCGGGTCACATTATCCGTGTATTTTCCGGAATCTCTGTGTGAAAGATGCTATAGAGACAGGAACTAAACAGAGCTTCACTGACAGACTGAACTTAAGCTAGTCATGGAGATATCATTATTTATGTGCAAACATCAATAAGCTTTTTTATGTTAAAGTCCCCGTGAACCGGAAGTTGCAAACGATTTTTCTCCAGTGCTGTGACGTATTTCCAAGTGAAACGTAATATTGAACAGAGGGCAGGGTTTTACTCTAGCGCTCCTCCTCTCCATCTCTCGCTCATAGCAAACTAACGGTTTGAGGGGAGTGGTTAAGCGTTTCCCCACCCAAGTTGTGAAACCTACGTCATCAGAAAAAGAAACCGTTCCAGACCGGAAGTAACTTTTCAGATTTTGATTAAAGATTACCAAGGTAAAACATTATTTTAAATATATTTTGCACGGATTAATTGTTCACCACAAGACTAGTAATATGCGCTAACAAAGTAAATAGGTTCAATTTTGATTTCACAGGGACTTTAATAAGGGATTCCAAGCTGTGCTGCCCTTCCTTTTTACTGGATTAGGTGCCTGTATCTATTTCTAACGGGTCCAGTTTTTGTTAAATACGGATGATATATATATATGATATTTATTGATGCATGCTCTAACAGAAACATTACCATTTAATAAACGCTAGGTTACATAAAATTTCTGTTATATCTGAATCTTCCAATAGCTTAAATGTCTTGAAAAGAATTTACCTCTAAGGCACTTTAGCCATGCAATCGAAAGTACAAATTATTTTCACCTGGCATGGATTTGTTTGTGTGCATATGGGGTTTCTGAAATCACATAAAAATACTCACCAAGCTTTACTGATCCTCCAAAAAGTGATCCTTTATCAAAAGCATCTTTCCAAGTGAATGTCAGACACAACTGGAAAAAACAAAACCTTAGTAACTTGCTCAAATGACCCAAAAATATAATCAACTACAGTCATTAAAAAAAAAAACAGTGATTGTGAATTTATAAGTGATACCTCTGGAAAAGGAAATTTGGGTTCGATTGCACAGAGCTGATCATAATATCTAGAGGGGAGAGACACAATGAGAAAAGAAAGGGTTGAGACAAACTTTTTTTTTTTTTTAAATTGCAAGAATGTTTCACAAATAAGTGCAAAGTAACAGCAAGTAATATTGAATCAAACAAGACTGAAATTGTACTTTCTTGTTAAAACATACTCCAATAGTCTGTTTTAATTTCAACAGTGAATAGTTTAGCCATGACAGTATTCTCATGTGACCGACCGTGTCAGTCTGAACGCAAGGACCAACTGACTAAGCTGACATTACTCAACTTCTTTGTTACGGAACTAGCTAGTGACACTTATCACAATTACACTTCCTTCATGGAAGGAAAGAGGAGCGTTTCCCCACATATCTGCTCCATTTAAACAAATATACATCTACAACTCCTTGCCCTTCGTCGACACTATTAAAAGAACATGTCTGTGGACTCATGGGAAATACCTCTTAAGTGTCATCACACAAACCAAACAGCAGTCTAACTAGGAGCTACAAAGCAGGCCATTCATCTGGATCATTTAGCATGGCTACAAAGCAGCAAACAAAAAACGTATTCCTATAGCAACACATGGCTCATTCACATAACAGATGGCGGAAGTTGGCTCCAGCCAGAGTTAACTCAACTACATTTAACCACAAATTGACATGCAGAACGTAACCACGGACTGGAGAAATAAAGTCTAATTTTAAAGTGTTTTTTTAGGTTCATTCTCATGTTACACAGCACATTTGAGCTTGCGCAAGAGGTTTGTTCTCACACATCAAGAAGGTTCGGTTGAGCTTCTGTTTATGTTCGCTGATCAATGTTAAAACGTGAATAAAAGACAAAATTCAATCTGTTCATCATATAAAGCGATAAAGTCTCTTTAGTAAATTTGGACTAAACCACTCAATTCATTTGGATTAGTTTTACGATCTCTTTATGAAGTTTTTTGTAGTGTCAAAGTTGTCAATGGAGGGACAGAAAGCTCTCAGATTTCATCAAAAAGATCTTCATTTGTGTTTCGATGATGAACGGGTACGGAACGACATGAGGGTGAGTAATTAATGACAGAAGTTTATTTTTTTTGGTGAACTTGTTTTTTTTTATATAGAAAATGTACCATTGGGAAAAAATATATAAAACAAATATATGGTAACACTTTATTTTACAGTGTAAAATGTAATGTTACATTACTGTAGTAAAAACTATAAATTATGCATAATTACATGCAACTAACTTCCTAACCCTAACCCTATAGTAAGTACATGTACTTAATTATTATTACTCAGTAGTTAATTATTTAATTTTGACAACTTCCCAATTAATTTGCAAAAACCTTTCAGTACAGACAACCCTCAAAAAAAGTTATTTTATGAGTTAAATTATGTGCTGAAAGCATAAGGCAGCAAATCTGATTTATTTATTTTTTTATAAATTAACTACTATTTCCTGTACTGTTCAAAAGCTCCATTGACCAACTGCTGGTTTACAGGTACAGTATATCTTCTAAAAATAACAACTGTACGTCACTAACACACCTGTATCCACCCCAGTCATTTCAAATAAGACGTAATGGAGTCTCGAGGTCGAAGATTAGGGACTCAACTGCTTAAACAACTAGGCGAGTACACTAGAAACAGCTCAAAACGCAGTTTCTGCTTTATTTCAGTTATTTGCGTCGAATTATGTATCATTACATTTACAATGAAAGTTTGACACGGTCAGACGGATTGACACACCTGAGTCACGCAGAACCAGGAAGCCGGTGACGTAACGTTACATAGTTGACGTACGCAGGGACTTTTTATATTCAACTTTAAGATTTTGGGGTGAAATTTATATTAATGCATAAATGTATTTTAGATTATGTAATTTGTCATCTTTTTTCATGTTTTTCACCATTTTAATAACCTTTTTGGGATAACTAGGTCATTTTAATGATCATTGGGTGTGACAAATGAATTTTAAAAGTACAAATATTCTTGGTAGCATCTATCTTAATACAAGTATGCATTATATAAATATATGTAAGATTTTAGAAAGAGTAGCACATCAACCACATTATGTCAAATCCCCCCAAAAATACTGAAAACCACTTATCACGCTAAACAAATATGTGGACTGTAAACACTAAACATGCTACCAACATGCCATACCAACATGAGCAACAACACCAGTTTACGTTTAACATCTATAAGAATGCCAATAAAAACAGACAAGGTCACCAACGGTAGTCATCACTTGGCTAAACTGTTTCTGCTATTAAATGACATACAAACTGATTCATTTAGATAGCTTCATGTAACTTAACTCACACAGCTTTTGATATCCGCTAAAGGAAAATAATCAGCACTTCAGCAAATTACATAGATTAATCAACAATCAAACGTTACGCCATAGGTAGCAGAAATGAACACCCTGAAGTTATCTTGTCAGGCTCTCACCGAAGCAGGATTTCCAGCGAGCTCTCGTGTTTGTCCAGCGGCCTCCCCAGAGCACTTTTGCGGAGCTTGTTGAGCTCTTCCACGGCACGGACATACTCCGCCTGCTCCTCACCGGGAGGATACGTGGCAGTTACAAATTTCAACAACGGTTTCGCTAAGTCCACCTCTGAGGACTTTTTCAACGGGACAGAAATAAAAGTCGCCATTTAGGCCCGCGGGAACGACACAGTTCTTGTGGAAAATGAGAAGACTGCAGACGGACAAAAACAAAGGCTGAGCACTTCCTGGTTCTCTTGACTGCGTCATCGCGTCAGATGTACCGTCAAAGTCACGCATGCGCATTCGAGAGCCGTTCCTGCAGGCTCCAGTAGAAGTACTGAGTAATTTTAATGAAGTACAAGTACTTACTGGGGTTAGGGTAGGATTGGGATTTGATTTAAAGTTAGTTGCATGTAATTATGCCTAATTATTACATTAAATACATTTAACGTGTGTAACAAGGAAACATTAATTGGACAATGTCTCATAAATTAAGAGAAATTCCCTGTTTGATCCACAAAGGAATTCACTGGTTCAAGGCTTTAACTATAGAGGAGAGAGAATAAGTTTACACTGACACATCTTACCCTATCCATTTAGTCATGTGGCCATTATATTTATGGCATATTACATAAAGTTACCTGTAATTCAGAAGCATTGCAAAAGTGATACGTATTTTTTATTGTAAAACATATTTAGGATAAAGCTTATTTTCTACATTGCAAAATGAACTTACCCAACAGGTCTAAAAATACATATTATATATGTTCATTATTTTGCTAAAGATTGACCTTAAATTATTAGATGAAGCATTTTTCCTATAATGATAGCTCAGCCTTTGTTCAACAGAAGTTGCAATTGTCTTTTCTTCCATATTGTGACGCATATATCCTAATGAAACCTTGAGCAAGAAAATAAATGTAGGGCAGGGCTTGATTTTGTCCATGGGGAATTGATTGAATGGTTATGATTGGTTGATCTCATGTGAGTGACAGGTTGCCCCGCCCTCACGCCAGTAAACGCATCATCAGTGAAGCGATTTCGTTGCAAGACTGAGGGGAAGTAATTTTAATTAAAGATTACAAGGGCACATGAATTAAAAAAAGATGTGCACAATTATATTAAACACTACAAATTTTCTATTTGATTTCATGGTGACTTTAAATGCATAATATTACAAAATGGCTGTATTTTGTTGGCAGACATCCTTAACGTATATAAAAAACGTAATGCGAGTATTATTTTAACCTTTCATTTCTCCTTGCCCACAAAAAAGCTATTCAATTTCAAAAGCATTACCCTCTCATTTTTAATTATAGTAAACACTCCAGAGACAATATATGAAAATTATTTTTATTTTGGTACAGGCATTAATTGTGTACATCTCAGCACCCCTATGGAAGAGAGGCTTCTTTAGACAGACAAGTGACGTGAGGGCACCATGATTATCATCACGGAAACACAGAGGACAGTCTGATGATCCACAGCATTTGATCTGAGGAAGAGAACAACGCACCTCTCCATGTGTTCAGACTTTGATCATTTGTTCAACCTGGAAACGTCACACGTACACCAAAAGTCTAAGTGAGCATCCAACGACAGCAAGGAATCAAACGGCGTGACATTTTATTGTGGTTTCAGTGCAGACTTGGCCATTCCTTTTTTAATTTTTTAGTTTTTTGGAGAATTAAAAGGAGTCAACATTCTAACAACCATGCTCCTCTATAAAGTGGCAATCATAAGCACAGTACATGCCAAAGCACAGCTGCCCAATACACGACTACTGAGATCGACAGTCAGTCTCTATTCAAGAAAGAAAGAAAAATTATTAAAGACAAGGCTGGCTGGTTTAACCAGAGCAGCTGACTGTAAACCATGAGAAAAACACCAGTCAACATCATATTCTAGGCCAAAAAAGGTACAAATTAAAAGAATGTAAAGGCATTAAGGGAAATAATTTATGGAGGCTTGTGATTGTGCTCGTTTATCAATAATCGTGCCAGAAGCTACTATAAAGTGTTAGTTACCAGGCACAGAAAATATAAAGCACAACCATCAATCTAAAAATCCTACAAATCCCATTATTTAATTCTAAACATATGGAACTAGCTGACACTTAATTCATCTGGCTAAGCACAAAGTAAATGCTAAGAAACTAACCGAATACAGTCAACAGAGGAAATGATGGCACCAGAAACGATTGGTCTTGAGCGAGGAAAGGATATCAGCACTGATGAGAGTAGGATACAGCCAAAACTTCTCACAACCTCATGTTAGTACTCGAACTCAAGGAATTATTTCATCCATATAGACAGACATAAAGACGTCCTGCGCATGCCGAAGTCAGGACGCGGTTCCCCACATTTGAACGAGGTCGTCACTATCTACCGAGGGGTTGCGATGGCGTCTGCAGGCCAGGCCGCAAAACGCTTGACAACTCACAGACAAAAGGCCAACAAACTCAGGTAAGTACTGCACGTTCACACCCAGCAAAGTGAGGACAGATTCTGAGCCGTATCGGCGCCGGATGCTCGGGTTCTTCCACCAATTGAGTGAAAGTGGTCACAGTTCTCTTCCACTTCCTTGAGGTTTCCGCTCACCTCCATCCCTCCCGATTCAACCTTTAAAAACTCACTCGCACACACACTTAAAAGCCCACCGCTTGCATACACTGGCATCAGTTTAAGTGTTTTCAATATGAAACAATTTACACACTGAAGTCAGATTCTAACAGTTAGGAGGCCCTGTCCAACCTCGGCGATCTCTCCGACGTCTGAGACGCGAAGAACGAGAGAGAGATAAGGAAAGGAGGAGAGAGGAGGATGGAGGGAACTCGCTCAATGCTCGAGAGCGGCAGTATGAAGCCTTGTGATGGCTTCGCACTCTCTGCTTCACGTACGGCAGATCTACTTCAGAACGAGGTGAAACCCATCACTGGTGTCATCTGAGGAAGACACAGTCAGAGAGATGATGTGGAGAACAGAAAAAGCAGAGAGGATTTATTTGGGGTTATGAAAAAATTTTTCACCTTGTATTGTGCTGACAATGAAACTGCTCTCATCAAGGAAGTTATAAACCACCTGTAAGAGAGAGAAAAAAATGACAAATTTGAGTTACTAAGCTCTTGTTCATGCTAATCATCTGATCTGAACTTCAGAAATGACTGATTCTGTAAGTGATTACATCAGTTTGTTCAAATAATGTAGTCAATATCACTATTGCTTTAGTAATTACTTTTATATTAAAACATAAAACAGTTGGTGTCAATGTTAAAGGAGAAGTCGGGTCAATTTTAACATTGAGATCATTTTTTTGTACATTTGAAGTGCTGTCAGCACAGACAAAAACGACAAAAATCGGTGTAGCCTACACCGTGTTATCGTCTTTTTAAAATTCGCACCCTATTGACTTCAATGGGGGATGTTCTAAACCTGCTTTTAGGCTCCTTGGGTGCTTTCACACCTGCCTAATTTAGTTCGGTTAAATTGCACTAGAGTTTGTTTTCCCCCATGGTGCGGTTCGTTTGGGCAGGTGTGAAGGCAGCAATCGCACTCGGGTGCGCACCAAAAGCTGACCAAACAAGCATACCGAGACTCCCTGAAAGAGGTGTTTTTTTTAATACATAATATTTTTTTCTTAAATATACATGCATGTGTGTGTATTATATATATATATACAAAATAATTATCCACAGTGCACCCACATATATTATGTAAACACAAACTTTTATTTTGGATGCAATTAATCGTTCGACAGCCCTAATATATACACATATGTTCACAATCAATTTATATTGCTTTAGTCTGTTTTAACAGTACATGATGTAACCATTCATTAGACAAATCTGCCACATGATGTTTCTCACCGACATGTCCCATTCATGGCAAAAGAAAACAGCACAAAAAAGCCCACAATGAAGTGTGTTTTATCTGTGGCATGATGCAAAACATTATTCAAATGAGCAGCCATGGTTGGCCAGCTTACGCGCGGCACCTGATAACAGGGAAGAGATTGTTTCAGGTGTGTGCTTACCTGGTCACTGAGTAGAATGTGTATCCCTGTGGGCCCCTGTTTGTAGACTTGGTTGATGTGGACCATCGGAAGCGACAAGACACTGGAGATCTTCTTAGTGAGTTCACAAGCGGTCATCTCCTCAAGGTAAAGCGCATGGTAAACTAAAACACAGACACACTTTAAAACAAGTCCAATGATGGAGGATTGAACATTTCACAGTACAACGCCTAAATTAAAACATACTACATCTGCAGACCCAAAAGCATACAGGAAGATTTTGACCTAATTCATAAAAGACAAACAGGATTAATAACTTTATTTTAAGTGTCCTTGTTTTAGTGTAATTTTACATTTAAGTACTACTGAGTAATATTCAACAAAATGTACTTATTATAGGGTTATAATTAGGGTATAAGATAGTTGCATGTAATTATGCATAATTTACTGTAATTACTCTATTAACTACATGTAACGTGTCACAAGAAAACTAAAATAAAGTGTTACAGAGTAGGGTTTGGTTGCTTATAATTATGCACAATTAACTGTTACTCTAACTACAGTAAATGCATAAAGCAGTAAAAAAAGTATTTTTCCAACCAACAAAACAACCACACACATATTTTAGACTTCAGTGACCTTCTTTTCTTGGTAAATGAGTTTGGGCTCTGACCCGAGAGGTTAAACCACATCAGTTATTAGAAGTGGCTATAGAGAGAACCGTGTCGGGTTTGAGTTGTGGTGGTGTTGTCAATCACATTTATTTATATAGTGCTTTATACAATCCATTATATGTTTATTGTTGCTTGCTGGGTCAAATTTCAGTTGTTATGGTTTTGTGTTTTAGAGAGCAGCATGAGGAAGATGTTTTTCTCAATGTGGCTTTTGCTGTATCTTTATCTCATAAGCTGCTGTTTAATAGTTTGGGACTGGTGATATTTTTACATGTTAATGAAAGCTTAAATGCTCACCAGTTCACTGATTATGCTTATTGTGCATTTATTTAATTAAAACTACAATATTGTGAAATAGTTTTAGAATTTTAAATAACTTTTGAATGGATTTTAAAATGTAATTTATTCCTGTGAATTTTCAGCATCATTACTCCAGTCTTCAGTGTCATCCTGAAGATCCCTCAGAACGATGATGATTTGCT